CACAAAAAGGTTTCAACATTACTAATCATTAGCAAAATGCCAATAAAAACTACAATGAAAGAGTATACTTTCAGGGATCATTTCCCTTTTTCTGTTTTTTGAGACTGAGTCTCACTGTTTCTCAGACTGGAATACGGTGGCAGGATCTCGGCTCACTGCAACCTCCGACTCCCGGGTTCAAGTGATTCTCCCCTCAGTCTCCTGAGTAGCTGGGATTACAGGCACCCACCGCCATGCATGGCTCATTTTAGTATTTTTGGTAGAGATGGGGTTTCATCACTGGTCTCAAACTCCTGACCTCAAGTGATCCACCTGCCTTGGCCTCCCAAATTGCTGAGATTACAGGTGTGAACCACTGTGCCCAGCCCATTTCTCTTTTTTATTTTTTTGAAACAGAATCTCACTTTGTCTCTGGAGCTGGAATACAGTGGTGTGATCACAGCTCACTGTAGGCTCAACCTCCGGAGCTCAAGTGATCTTCCCATCTCAGCCTTCCCAGTACCTGGGGACTGCAGTTGCGCATCACCAGCTAATTTTTTTTTTTTTTTTTTTGAGATGGAGTTTTGCTCTTGTTGCCCAGGTTGGAGTGCAATGGCGTGATCTTGGCTCACCACAACCTCTGCCTCCCAGGTTCAAGCAATTCTTTTGCCTCAGCCTCCAAAGTAGCTGGGATTACAGGCATGCGCCACCATGCCCGGCTGATTTTTGTATTTTTAGTAGAGACAGGGTTTCACCATGTTGGCCTTGCTGGTCTTGAACTGCTCTTGTGATCCGCCTGCCTTGGTCTCCCAAAGTGCTGGGAGTACAGGCATAAGCCACCATGCCCAGCCAATTTTTGTATGTTTTGTAGACACGGGATCTCGCCCATGTTGCCCAGTCTGATTGTTTCTATAGTCAATTATAAGAAAAGTTTCTCTGAATGTGTAGAGCACTGGAAACCATGAGGAGGTGGCACAGCATTCTCCCCTGGGCATCAGGCTGGCTGCTGGTGGTGCTTTCTACAACTGCCATTTGCCATTTTCTTCCTTCAGGAGAGTGAGAGAGGGCACAGTCTGGGTGGTTTCCCTGAAAAAAAAAAAAAAATCTACAATGAGATAACCACCTCTGACTTGTTCACACTTGTTGGGATGATTACCATCAAACAAGCAAATAGAAAATAACAAGTGTTGGCAAGGATGCAGAGAAACTGGAACCCTCATGCACTGTTGGCAGGAATGTAAAATGGTGCATGCAAAACGGATGGCAACTCCTCAAAAAATTAAAACAGAATTACCATGCAATCCAGCAGTTCCACCTCTGGGTATATACCCCAAAGAATTGAAAACAAGGTCTCAAAGAGATATTTGTACACCATATGCATAGCAGCATTATTGGAAACAGTGCAAGTGTCCATGGATGGACGAATGGATAAGTGTCTTAGTTGCTTTGTGCTGCTCTAACAGAATACCTGAGACTGGGTAATTTATAAAGAGCAGAGATTTATCTCTTACAGTTCTGGGGGCTAGCTGGGAAGTCCAAGATTGAGGGACCCACCTCTGGCAAGGGTCTTCTTGCTGTATCATCTGATGGTGGTAGGCAGAAGGGCAAGAGAGCACGAGAGAGAAGGGAGCCTGATCCTCATCCTCTTATCAGGAACCCAGTATCAAAACAATAGCATTCATCCATTCATGTGAGCAGAGCTCTTGTGATCTAATCATCTCTTGAAGGTCCCTCCTTTCAACACCATTGAATTGGAGATTAAGTTTCTTATACATGGCCATGTGTGGTGGCTCACATCCATAATCCCAACACTTCAGGAGGTTAAGGAGGGAGGATCATTTTTGCCCTGGAGTTCAAGTACAGCCTAGGCAACATAGTGATACCTCATCTCTACAAAATAAATAAATAATAAACAAATAAAAACAAAAATTAGCCAGGCATGGTAGCATATGCCTGTAGTTCCAGCTGCCTGGGAGGCTGACATGGGAGGATCGCTTGAGCCTAGGAGATCAAAGCTGCAGTGAGCCATGAATGAACCACTGCTCTCCAGCCTGGGTAACAGAGCGAGATCGTGTCTCAAAAAGTAAGAAAGAAAGCTGGGCATGATGACTTACGCCTGTAATTCCAGCATTTTGGGAGGCCAAGGCAGGTGGATTGCCTGAGGCCAGGAGTTCCAGACCAGCCTGGCCAACATAGCAAAACCCTATCTCTACTAAAAATACAAAATTTAGCTACGCATGGTGGGCGCCTGTAATCCCAGCTACTCAGGATGTTGAGGCATAAGAAGCACTTCAATCTGGGAGGCAGAGTTTTCAGTGAGCCAAGATCGTGCCACTGCACTCCAGCCTGGGCAATAGAGCAAGACTTTGTCTAAAAAAGAAATTAATTAATTAAAGAAAACAGAAAAGTTTCCAACACATGAACTTTGGGGGACACAGTCAAGCCATAGCAATAATCAAAATGTGGCAAACCCCTACAAAAGAATATTAGTCTGTCTTTAAAAGGAGAGAAATTCTGCAATGTGTTAAAACATGGATGAACTTTAAGGACTTTCATGCTAAGTGAAATAAGTCAGTTACATAAAAAATAAACACTATATGACTCCACTTATATGAAGTACTTAGAGTAGTCAAAATCATAGAGACAAAGTAGAGTAGTAGCTGCCAGGGGGTTAAGGGAGTAGGGGATGGGTAATAATTGCTTAATGAATAGTTTCAGTTTTTCTTTTTGAGATGGAGTTTCGCTCTCGTTACCCAGGCTGGAGTGCAATGGCGCAATCTCGGCTCGGCGCAATCTCGGCTCACCGCAACCTCCGCCTCCTGGGTTCAGGCAATTCTCCTGCCTCAGAATTGGCTCAAGCCTGTAATCCCAGCATTTTGGGAGGCCAAGGCTGGTGGATCACCAGGTCAAGAGATCGAGACCATCCTGGTCAACATGGTGAAACCCTGTCTCTACTAAAAATACAAAAAAGTAGCTGGGCATAGTGGTGCATACATGTAATCCCAGCTACTCAGGAGGCTGAGGCAGGAGAATTGCCTGAACCCGGGAGGCGGAGGTTGCAGTGAGCCGAGATCGTGCCATTGCACTCCAGCCTGGGGGATGAGAGCGAAACTCCGTCTCAAAAAAAAAAACAAAAAAGAAAGAAAGACGTTGGATAATGGTGATAATTGCACAAAATTATGAATGTATTTAGTACTACTACATTGTACACTTAAGAATGGTTAAGATAGGCCAGGTGCGGTGGCTCACACCAGTAATCCCAGCACTTTGGGGGTCTGATGTGTGTATGCAGCAGTTTGGAAACCCTTTCTGTGGAGAATGTAAAAACTGACATTTCCAGCAAAATCCTGGCATATAACAAATAGCAGTAAGACTGCATCTAAAACACAGAAGAAACGTGGAAGCGTTTCTGGATGGAAGCAAGCTTTGTACAGACCACCATGGCTCTGGGGCTGTCCTCCAAGAAAGCGGTGGGTGGATCACTTGAGGTCAGGAGTTCGAGACCAGCCTTGCCAAAACAGTGAAACACCATCTCTACTAAAAATACAAAAATTAGCCAGGCATGGTGGTGCATGTCTGTAATCCCAGCTGCTTGGGAGGCTGAAGCAGAAGAATCACTTGAACCCGGGAGGCAGAGTTTGCAGTGAACCAAGATCGCACCACAGCACTCAAGTGTGGACTACAGAGCAAGACTCCGTCTCAAGAACAACATAAACCCCTAAAGAACATCATGTGCCCTAATTTGGAGAAAGAGCAAAAAACTCATCATGACTGCCCCTGGCAGTCTGGAGGCAGAAGAATGGTAAGCAGGACGGCTACGTGTGAGGCAAGAGCAAGATGACGGAGGAGGGACTGAAAAGCCCGAGGTTATACTACAATTGGATTATGCTAATATGCTAAAAACTTCAAACGATACAGAGAAGATTAGCATGGCCACTGTGCAAGGATGACACACACACACACACACACACACACACACACACAAAAGTAAAAATAAAAATACCAAGGTTGAGGTCCCAGCAGCCAGTAATTGAGGCTGAGGCTGTGTAAACATGACATCCCATGCTAGGAGTCAGGACCTCTCACCAGTCTCCAGGGAGTCAGACCCAGCTCTTTTTGTTGTTTTTTAGATGGAGTTTCACTCCTGTCGCCCAGGCTCGTGTGCAATGGCGAGATCTCAGTTCACTGCAACCTCTGCCTCCTGGGTTCAAGCTATTCTTCTGCTTCAGCCTCCCAAGTAGCTGGGATTACAGGTGCCCACCACCACATCAGGCTAATTTTTTGTATTTGTAGTAGAGATGGGGTTTCCCTTCCCCATGTTGGCCAGGCTGGTCTCGAACTCCTGGCCTCAGGTGATCCATCTGCCTCGGCCTCCCAAAGTGCTGGGATTACAGGCATGAGCCACCATGCCCAGCAGACTAGCATCTTTCATCTCCTCCTCCTCCACTTGTGCTAACAGAGGGTCCCTGCCTGCTGATCATTTTCAGATGTGGGTGCAAATCTGAATCAGTGTAGAGATGTTGGCAATCCACTGGTAGAGGTGAACTGAGAGGGTAGGCAGAGTTGGAGAATAGGTGTGAGTGAGTCCTGGAAGGGATGTTCCTAAGGGCAGATGGAGAAATTGGGTAGAGGCCCTTTAATAAACACAGAAAGGCTTTATGTGGGAGTTGCAGATTCCAGCGGTTGAAGGGGAATGCCCGCTGAAAATCCTGGAACAGGTTGAATAGAGGAACTGAGCAGGTGGGAGTAGGGATGTGAGAGAGGAATAGGAGGCCAAGGGCAGGGGGGACATCAGACTGCCTGCATTTCCCCCCATCCCTGTGGAGAGCTGCAACCAGTTTTACAGGACACTCCTGGCTTTGCCTGAGATCAATAACCCCATTCAGAGAGGGTTGATGGCACCATGCGGCAATGCCGGCAGCCAAGGGGTTAACCTTAGGCCAGCTGGCTCTGGGGTGGTGTGAGGGGGTGGGCCGCCACCCCCTCCGGTTGCCTTGGCACCAGTGTAGGCGCTTGCTCTGCTGCTGGAAACCTCCGCAGAGCCCAGGGCCCTTCGCTGCCAGTCTGCTCCCCACTCTTGGTCCCGAGTCAGGCGCTGGGCCCTTAGGCTTGGTCCGGATTCCCATCCTCCACCCCAGGAGAGGTTTGCTCAGCCCGGCTGGTGCAGGCGAGTCCAGTCCAGGCACAGATAGACACGCAGATGCGCAGTCTCTAGGGCTGCTCCTTAGCCTCCTGGGTTAGCAGCCGGGGGCCACCTGCGCTCTCCGCACGCAGCCCTCGCCTCGCGGAGAAAGCCGAGGCTGAATGGGTGGGGGGCGGGGCAGGGACGAGGGTCCCTGAGGTGAGAACCTCCTTTCTTCAGGCGGCTGGGGAGATCAGAGACCCCACGGAGCTCAGGTCAGAAACAAGGGAATAGAGAGATCGGAGCCAGACTCGAGGCCAGGCGAGGCGAAGCGAGGAATCTCGGGCCCTGAGTGTGGGGGTGAAGGACAGGCCCCTTGCTCCTCCTTCCAATCTCTGCTCTCCTGGGGACCCCCTCCGCCCTCCCCGGGGCCCCGGCTCTTCCCCCTTCCCCGAGACCCTGCACCCTCTGCGGATTGGTCCTCAGACTGCTGGGGGCGGGGCCTGAGGGCCCTGACGTCACTGGCTGAGGTGGGGCGGGCGGCTGGAGGAGGGGGTGACAGGGCCGGGCTCAGCACCTCGGAGAGCTCCCTCCCTGGCCTTGTTTTGCTCTGGCATCGCCGCCGGGGGAGGGAAAGAGGGGGCCGGCCGGACACTGGGCGCAGAGGCAGGGGGATGGCCATGGAAGGGTCGAGGGGCACCGGTGGGCAGAGGGCCCAGCCGTGATCCAGCGACGGGTTTGGGGCGCCGGGCGGGGTGGGGGGCAGCGGGCGGCGGCAGCAGTGGCCGCACATCTGGATGGAAGCGAGCTTTGTCCAGACCACCATGGCTCTGGGCCTGTCCTCCAAGAAAGCGTCCTCCCGCAACGTGGCCGTGGAGCGTAAGAACCTGATCACCGTGTGCAGGTGGGCACCGCTGGCGGGCGGGGGCTGGGTGGTCAGGTAGCGGGGTTGGGGTGGACTGCGGAAACCCGAACTGAGCGCTACAGTGGAGAAAAGGGAGGGGAGCAAAGGGTCCAGAAGAATGCGTCCACTGTCCCTCCCAGGCCCAAACCCAAAGTAGGGCTGCAGTCTGGTCCCTATCTTTCTAGGCCAAGCCAGGCCTAAGTTGGGGCCTGGCCCTGGGGGGGCGGGGGCGGGGGCGAGTGAGGGGTGTTTAATTGGCACTGCAGCTTCCTGTGAGAACCAGGAAGTGACACTGTGTGAAGAGGGAGGGGTGGGGATGCCTGGCTCCCTTGCTGGGAGTGGGGCAGGATGGGCACAGGGGACCCTGTGGGGGGATAAATGCCCTCCAAGCATACCCTCATTGCCACCCCTGTCAAACTGGCCTCTTTGCGGTGGGGCTCTCCAATGCTGAGATTCTGGAGCAGGGATGGCCTGGGTCAACTGGGCATGGGGGCAGAGCCCATGAATCCCTCCAGGGAAGGTTGAGGGGCACCGCCCAAGACATGGGAAGGACAAGAGCCTGGGTTCCGGGTTCAAGGGGAGAATATCGGGAGGGCAGGGCCATTGATCTTTGAGGGGGGAACAGTTGCAGGGTTGGAAAGATTCTCCACATTGTGGGGCCCAGGAAGTGATCCTGTCCACTTCAGCCCTGCAGTGACTCACCCTCCCTGTCCTGCCCTAAAACCTGGGCATGGCCAGCTACTCAGCCACTCCCCCTGCAGCCCACACCTGCACTCTCCTCTGGTGCTGGGATGCTTTGCAAGCTGCAACCTCCCCTGGCCCCCATGCCTACCAGGTATTGCCCTCTCAGGGCAGGGTGCTTCTGGGGGCAGGGCTCAGTCTTCCCTCACCAGCCCCATCTGCCTACACATAGGCCTCAGCAGAGCTGAAGCCCACCTAATGCCCTGAGGTGAATTAGTGCCCACCTGATATCCTGACTCCTGGCTCCCATAGCTCCTTCCAGGTTCCTGGGCACACACCCAGCCATGCCGCATCTGTCTCTCAGCATCTTATCCCTAGGGCCCAGCACAGTGCTGTGCACATCAGACCTCTACAGAAATGCCTGAACATTAAGGAAGGAGAGAGTGCAGCAATGGCCCAGCCCACAGTGCAGGGCACTGCCGTGACCCTCATTCTCCACAACCCCTGACAGTGTGCTGTAAAACAAAAATTTCTGTCTTTGGGGCCAGATGGTCCTAGGTTCAAGCTCTTACTCTGTCAGCTTTAGCTGTGCAACCTTGGGGAGGTCTCTTAACCACTCTGGGCCTCGGGTGCCCTGTCATCCCCATTTTAGCTGTCACAGCCACACCACAGAATGGTAATGGCATCATCCATGTAAAGCCTAGCTCAGTGTCTGGCCCACAGAAAGAGCCCTGTCCTAATGACATGCTTCCTGTCCCTCTCTGCTCTTGACTTGCTAGGCTCCTCTTTTTTCTCTTGCCTGCCAAGGTAGCTGAGCCTCTTGAGTATGTGGGGAGAATGAGGGAACTCTCCTTGGCCTAGGGGGGAGAAGCTTGAGTGGGTTGAAGGTGGCTTAGGGCTGGGGGGAAGGATAGAGTTTTGGGGGATCAGGGATGTGACAGACTCCATAATCCCCAGGCCCGTCCTGCCTCATCACTGTCACATGGTTTGCCTCCAGTTCCCAGAACAGTTCCCTTTAGCAGGCTGTGGGCTCCCCTGGGCCCTGGCCTCCCTGTTTCCATGGTAACCTGCAGCAGCCACTGCACCTCCTATCAGAAAGCATGCCATGGGGCTCCCAGGGCCAATCTGTGGCACCCCTGAAGGCAGATACCGGATGGCTGCCACGCTGAACCCAGTCCAGGCCCCATCAAGGTCTGACCCAGATGACCAGGAGAAATCAAGCCGCAGGAGGGTGGGTATAGTGAAGCTGGGATAATGCCCCAAACACAGGCTGACTCTCAGCAGGGCCAGCTTTCCCAGCCACAGCCCTGTTCCTCATCATCCCTGCCCAGCAGCCTGTAGGCACCTACCTACCTTCTCCCAGCCCTGCCTGGGCTCTCAACCAAAATTTGATGAGGCAGGTACGATCATTCCCATTTGCATTTGGCAAGAGGGCCTCCAGGAGGGGCCCAAGGCCACATGAGTGTCACAGGGGAACAGGATTTGAATCCAGCAGGCCGCCTCCCTTCAGTGCAACCCCAAGACTGACCTGGCTCTGATCTGAGGCCAGATCAACTCCAAGTCCAAAAGGAAGGAGGGCAAGGGCTCAGATGTGCAATTGGCCTGATAGCCGCAGAGGTCAGTGCTCAGGGGCTGGAGATTGCAGAGTAGAGGACGAAGGGCAGTGGAGCAGGGGCTGCTCCAGGCCTTGGTGATCATGACAGCTGCCAGGAGGCCACAGATGTAGCAGAAAGAGCAGGGGCTTCAGAATCAGAATTAGACATACTTGCTTGAGTCCTCATAAGCCATGTGACTCTGAACAGATCAGTCAACCTCTTGGACTGTCAGTTTCTTTACCTGTACAATGGGGATGAGAGTGATAATAACGGGACCTACCTCTCAGGGCTGTGGTGAGCATGGGCAAGGTAATGCATGCAAAGTACTGTGCTTGGCATATTATAGGGCTTGATAAATATAAGAAGAAAAAGACATTTCCAAGCAGCTCCCATATCCCTGGACACCCCACCCCTGCTCTGCCACCCACAATAGGGAAATCATGGGATGTTAGAAACTGTCCTCTTCCCTGCCCCACTCCACTGCAGGGATGGCAGGTGGAGATTGCAGGGGTAGCAACTGCAGAGGGAGCCTGAGGTTTAGACAGGATTGGAGAAGGGGGCGCTGCATGGCTTCGGTCCTTCAGCCCCACAGGCTTCCCTTGGCTCCTTTCTCCCTGAGAAGCCAGGCCACCAAGCCCCTTCCAGGGATCTGCTGCCAGTGCCCCCTCCTGCCCAGTGTCTGTGTCAGGCCCACGCCCTGCACCTCCCTGCCCTGCCCCCGCCCAGCTCTGCACTGCCTGGTTCTGGGCAGCTGGTGTGTGGGAGGCCAAGCTGGGAAGGAAAAGGGGGAAGGGGGTATCTGTGTGCTGGGAGCCCACCTGGCCACGTGCGCACGCCCACACTCCACGTGCACAGTGCCAACTCACATGCCCTGGCACAGGTGACCCCATCCCCAAAAGGGACTGAAGGTTGTTCCAACAATCACAGAAGACAGCTCAGGGTGGGGCACACACTGGCTTCTAACATGTAGTTGGCCCTGGCCTCGAACACACAGACTCTGAAGGGCAGTCCAGGGGGAAGGGTCTCGGGGACTGCTCCCAGCTTGTGGCACCTCATCTTCCTATTTTTTCAGCCCCTCTCACCCCTTGCTCCTGAAGCTTCCTTTCTCTGGCTGTCACCTCTCCTTTCACTCATTTTGTCAATCAGTCTCCCACCTGTCACCCTCCCTCCCCACCAGCCACCCTCTCACTCCATATGACCCAGTACCTCTGTGGTCACTGTAGCCTCACCTGTCTCCCCGCACTCTCTGCCCACCCCCACATCCATGCCCTTCCTGACCTCTGCTCTGCCGGTGTTCCCTTCCTCTGCTTCCATCGCCTGTCTCCTCACCTGACATCCCACTGCCCCATCTCCCCACCATGCCACCCAGGTTCTCTGTGAAAACACTGCTGGAGAAGTACACAGCGGAGCCCATCGATGACTCATCAGAGGAGTTTGTCAATTTTGCAGCCATTTTAGAGCAGATCCTCAGCCACCGCTTCAAAGGTGGGCCCAGGTTCCCTCCCGCCATGGTCCAGCCCTCCCAACTCCCAGCGTTTATCTCCCAGCTGCCCCACTCTGATATACTCCATGGACTCTGAACCCTCTGATTGACCCTGGCCCCCACCTGGGCCATGCAGAGAAGCTCGTGTACAGATCTGGGAAGAGGGAGAGGCCTTTGGCCTATAATCCCCTTCAGTGGGCAAGCTATGTGCTGGGGTGCCCGCTGCATGTATGCATGTGAGTGCACATACCTTTGTCGGGGGAAGCTGCTTATACTTATGCATGGGAGACCCCCGATACACAGACCCTCTCCAAACTCCCTGGTCTTGCTGAGTCCCCTCCCTGCCCTGGCTCAGCCTGTGCCCCAGCAGGTCCAGTGAGCTGGTTCAGCTCAGATGGGCAGCGGGGCTTCTGGGACTATATCCGGCTGGCCTGCAGCAAAGTGCCCAACAACTGTGTGAGCAGCATCGAGAACATGGAGAACATCAGCACAGCCCGGGCCAAGGTGAGGGGCCTGGAGCAGGCAGCTGCTCTCTGCTCTGGACACAGGGGGCCTGCCTGATTCTTGGTCCTCACCCCCTGTCCACAGCCCAGGGTAGAAGGGCCACACCTGATGCTGGATACATGAGTCCCTCTGGGGCAGCAAGTAAAGGTGAACATACTTTCCAGGGCCGGGCATGGATCCGGGTGGCACTGATGGAGAAACGCATGTCAGAATACATCACCACGGCTCTGCGGGACACCCGTACCACCAGGTCAGACTTCCCAGGCAGCTCGGACCACAGGTCTCAGGGTGCATCTGCATTGCCCAAACACAGCTGATCCTTAAGTTCTTGCAGCATCCTTCAGTTCCTGGACTGCAAGTCCCAGCAGCAGCCTGTACAGCTGATTTCCCCCTTCCAGGCTGGCCTGCAGTCCCAGGGCAAACTACTCACCACCACCATCACTTGCAAGTCAAATCTGATGCCCATTATCCACCATCCTTGCCCAGCACACTCCACCCTGGCATGCCTCTGGATTAGCCTCAGCCATGAGCCATCACATGTGCTGGCTTGCTCCATGACCTACAACACAACCCTTCTGGCTCTCCAAACAATGGCAGCAGTTCCGTACTTGCCATCCACAGACACGGAGTCCCTGCGCAGGGAGTTCAACTCCTGCACTGCGGGTTCGAAGGGAGGTTGGCTGCCTGAGGCAGGGGGTTACAAGGTGAAATGTGCCTGTGTGTCCAGGTGCATCTGAAGCTGGGTATGGTGAGGGGCATGTACCTCCCCCTCCCAACTAGCCACACTCAGCCTGATGTTTTTGCTGCATTTGATTCCTCAGTCTACACATTTCAGGGCTCAAGTCAACACGTTTTTTTTAGGCACCTACTATATACCAAACACTAAGATTAAGACTCACTTCCAGATGTGAAGAATCTGGGTAACCCAGTACTTGATGAGGAAAGGGTAGCTCAGGGGGAGGAGTGGACTCAGGGAACACCCATTCTAGGTGATGGGGCCACGGTTCGAGCCCTAGGCTGAGGGGCGAGAGAGGCTCCAGGCCTGCAGGGTGATCAGGAAGGAGAATCAGCTTTCCTTCAAGAGGGGGTGGCAGTAAGCCAACAACAGCAACTTGAGGGGGCTCCAGCGCCTGCTGCACCATCCTCTGCCTTCCCACAGACGGTTCTATGACTCTGGAGCCATCATGCTTCGGGACGAAGCCACCATCCTCACAGGAATGCTGATCGGACTCAGCGCAATCGACTTCAGGTGGGGTCTGCCTGGCTGCGGTGGAGGAGGGGGCTGTTTTCCCCGCAAATCTCCTACCCCAACCCTTCATACCCACCCCCAATCCTGTGGCTCCTCTGCCCCAGCTTCTGTCTAAAGGGGGAAGTCCTGGACGGGAAGACCCCCGTGGTTATCGATTACACACCTTACCTAAAGTTCACACAGAGGTGAGCGGCTCCACGACTGCGGCGGGGCGGGGACCGGCCCCCAGGGACTTCCTGGGGACGTCCTGGTCCCACCGCCCTCGGGGGCCAGCGCGGACGCGCGGGGGGAGGGGAGGGACCGCCCGTGCCCACTGTTCCCTCCCCCAAGCTACGACTACCTGACCGATGAGGAGGAGCGGCACAGCGCCGAGAGCAGTACGAGCGAGGACAACTCGCCCGAGCACCCGTACCTGCCGCTCGTCACCGACGAGGACAGCTGGTACAGCAAGTGGCACAAGATGGAGCAGAAGTTCCGCATCGTCTACGCGCAGAAGGTTCGCGACACCCGCGGGCCTTGGGGGGGGGGTGGGCGGGGCGGGGGAGCCTGGCATCCCAGGGCGGGGCGGGGACGGGGGCCGCGGCCGGGATGTCCTCCCCGCCGCCCGAGCTGAGTCGGCGCTTCGCAGGGCTACTTGGAAGAGCTGGTGCGTCTGCGCGAGTCGCAGCTGAAGGACCTGGAGGCGGAGAACCGGCGGCTGCAACTGCAGCTGGAGGAGGCGGCGGCGCAGAACCAGCGGGAGAAGCGGGAGCTGGAAGGCGTGATCCTGGAGCTGCAGGAGCAGCTGTGAGCGCACGGCCTGCCCTGACCCCTGACCCCTGATCCCGGCCGCCCCGACCACATCACCGGGTGAACCCCATCTTCATCTCTATCGACTCTAACATCACCCGACACGAGCACCCACCTCTCCAGCATCAACCCACTGATCCAGCCAGCTCCACCCCGAGATGACCACAATGACTTTCTAACATTGCCCCCAGCATAGGATCCAGTGACACCAACGGCCAGAGCCCCACTTCACCCTCAGTTACTCTTCAGCTAGAGTGGCCATCTGCCCTTTACTGCAGGAACCCCGACATCACTCACCAGGACCTGCAGTGTTGCTCTGCAACCTTCAACACGACTGCACACGTCCCAGAGTTCAGCGCTTCACTCACCTGCACCACAGGCTCACTGATCGTCATCACCCACTGTGACCCCCGGCCTCACTTCTCCTTTAAGCCTTTCCATCACCCTGATCTTGTGGCACGATCCCCAAGACAACCTCACCCTTCAGGGATTCCCACACTATTCTCCACTGACACCCCCATCACCCCAACTGACCCTACAACACTGCACCATTCTTTCCAACACCCAATATTTGTGCACAAATCCCTGTCACCCCTCCACTCCAGTACCACCTCCACTTCCTCCCGGGATCCCGGGATCTGCCCCACTCACCCCAACACTGTATCCCCATTTTTGCCACTCAGAATTCATTCCTTGCCCCTCCCTCATCCCCATGTTGAATCTCCCTTCCTCACTTCTCCTACTTCCAGCCAGGCCTGACTCCTCCTCCCTCTCCCAGGACAGGTCTGATCCCCAGTGACCACGCCCCCCTGGCCCAGGGTTCCAAGGAGCTCACTACACTCCTGGTCAACCAATGGCCTTCATTGGGAACACTCAATGGGGCCGAGAGTGCCAGCAACTCCAAGCCCTACCGGAGGTAAGCCCCAGCCAGGTGCCATAGGGCCTGAGAGCGGGTCGGCCTGGGGAGGAAGGGCTTCCTCTACCAGCGCACCAGCTCTCGCTCTGCCGCAGACACAGCTTCATGAGCACGGAGCCGCTGTCAGCTGAAGCCAGTCTGAGCTCAGACTCCCAGCGCCTGGGAGAGGGCACGCGGGACGAAGAGCCCTGGGGTCCCATCGGTGAGCTCCCCAACCCAACACCCAGTACCCCTCCAGGAACGGCTAAGGCAAGGCCCTGGGGCCTGGAGGCAGGTCCTAGCCCATTTCTTCATTCATTCTCTCAGCCTTACTTTTCTTTTTAAGATGGGGGATTCACCATGTTGGCCAGGCTGGTCTTGAACTCCTGACCTCAGGTGATCAGCCCGCCTTGGCCTCCCAAAGTGCTGAGATTACAGGCATTAGCCACCACGCCCGGCCACTTTTTTTTGAGATGGCATTTCACTGTTGTCCAGGCTGGAGTGCAGTGGCGCAATCTCAGCTCATTCCAACCTCCACCTCCTGAGTTCAAGCAATTCCCTTGCCTCAGCCTCCCAAGTAGCTGGGATTAAAGGTGCCCACCACCACACCCAGCTAATTTTTATATTTTTAGTAGAGACATTTTACCATGTTGGCCAGACTGGTCTCAAACTCCTGACCTCAAGTGATCCACCCGCCTTGGCCTCCCAAAGTGCTGGAATTACAGGTGTGAGCCACTGCACTCAGCCTCGCTCAGCCTTTCTTGAGGGATTAGCACAGCAATTAAGAGCTTGCTTTGGGGTGTCATGTAGAACCCAGCACAAATCCTGGCTGTGCCTCCTCTGACCATGTGAGCTTGCTCCATCAGTTTACCTCGATGTCTTATTTGTAAAATGGGGATATTGGTAATCACCAGTGTTGTATGTTGAGGGCTCAGTGGCTTTTTGTTGTCATGACATCCTCAGGGGGCTCATAAACTCTTGAGGAACCCCTCAAACTAATTTGCTCTTATCTCATGCACACTGTGAACTACTTGCCTGACCCTTGTTTCCCCCTTCTCTTTGGCTGCCAGGAAGCTCAGAGCCAAATTAGTGGCTCCCTTCAAGCGAATGACCAGGACTTCAACGCATGCACTTTGTGTTGACCTCATCCCTGGCTTCACCTTGGTTTTTCCCATCCTAGTTTTCTCTGTGCCTGGATTGCCTGTCTTTTCTTTTTTATAAGCAACCACACTGTATTGGATGACCCTAGATCTTCTTTGAGAAAAGGCCGGCTGTGGCCATGTAGCCCCATCACACTGTGTTTGTGATTGTCTGTGTGTCTGTCTCCCCTACCAGACTGTGAGCTCCATGAGGGCAGGGACCGTGTCTTGTCCATTCTCTGTATCCCCTGTGCTTGGAACAGAGCAAGTGCTCACTGCGTATTTAATAAATGGACAAAGAGAGAGGATGACCCTCAGGGGGAGACACAGACATTCAGTGACAATTACAATACAGTGTCCCCAGCACCATCCCTGGTCCAGGCAGGTGCTTAACCACGATATAACTGAAAATGGCAAATGCTCCCGAATAGATCAAGGCTTCCTGGGGGGTGACTTGAGGGCTGCCCTTCCACTGCCCACCCTTCTACCAACTCCCACACATGCAGACTGGCCACCCAGCCTCACCTGCCCTCTCTCCCCAGGAAAGGACCCCACGCCCTCCATGCTGGGCCTCTGCGGCTCCCTGGCCTCCATCCCCAGCTGCAAGTCCCTGGCGAGCTTCAAATCCAACGAGTGCCTGGTGAGCGACAGTCCTGAGGGCAGTCCAGCCCTGAGCCCCAGCTGAGGAACGGCATGGGCAGTGCCAGCCCCACCTGCCCGGGGCCATGGACACCTGCCACCTTTCTTCAACAACAGTCCCCCAGTCCAGGCTCCCCTTCCCGAGAACGCTGCCCGCCCAGCCAGGGCCCTCTTGGGGAAGATCCCCTCCGCTTGCCTTAGCTTCCTGCCTGTGGTGGCAGGGGCTGCAGAGGGAAACCAGCTGCGCCAGGAGGCAGGGGTGCCCAAGCCACAGGAAGCCCCTGGGGAAGTCTACTCCATTCTTCCTGTGACCCTGGCACTCCTTCACTCATCCCCCCCGAACCTCTCCACCAAGGCTGGTGGACCAGCTTCCACACCACCCATCTCCCAGTCCCTAGCCTCTCCGTCTGTCCGTGTACGCTCTGGAGTCACTCCTTCCCGGCCCCCAGCAAGAGCTCTTCGGGGGATCAGGCAAATAAAAACCAGAGGACTGAGGGCAGCCTTGTATGTGGGGGGGCTGCGGCTGGGGCAGGGCCCAGTCCTGAGGTCGGAAGGAAGTACAGCCAGTGCCTGGCCCACAAGCAAGGTCAGGCAGCATAGCGTGTCCTGTGGGGGCAGGCAGGCCAGCACTCAGGGAGTGGGTTGCTTCTGTGTTGTGTCCGAAATACTAGGTCTGCCTAGGGCAGGCCCAAGACTTGCAAGTGCCCCTGAAACCCAATGGCCTTTATGAAATCAATCAACCCCAGGCTGAGAAGAGGAGAGCCCACCGGGGCAGGATGGAGGCATACCCTGGTGGGGCCAGTGCCCTGTGCTGGCCTCAGCAATGGCCCTTTGGCCCAAAGCTGCAGACCCCTCGGTTAGGCCAGAGCCTGGCAGTTCAGCAGCCCTCACTCCTCTGCTGCCGTTTAAGGTTCCCCTAAGCAGAGGTGTCATTATCCCCATTCTAACCCTAACATGGGGGGTCCCCAAAGGGACCTCACCCCCAGAATGTCTACCTGTGGTCCCCCACACTCTAGGTCTTCACCCCGACTGACTCTCACTAGGTTGGAGGGGTCCTCTTCATGGGTGCCTCCCTCGCCAGCCACCCCAGGCCCCAGAAGCACAGGCACCAGGCAGAAGCTCATCATCTTTAGACTTAGGAATTAACAAGGGTCAGGGAGACTACACCAGGCTGAGGGTTTCTTGGCTCCTGGAGACAGGCCCACCTACAGCAAACACAAGGAAACACGAAGGGGGCAGCTGCAAGATTTGGTCTTGAACTTGGGGGTGGGAAAGTCATGATCCCCACGACCGGGAACAGCAGGAAGAAGCTGCGTCTGAGGAAAGCCAGGGCCACCCAGAGGGGCAGCCCTGCCCTTGGGCTTGTCGCCAGAAGGCTAGGGAAACCAGCCCCCTCCCTCAGTGCTGGGGAAAAGGCACTTGGCTGGGTCTCCTCCTGCCCTCTCCCCATCCGTGGAGAGCTGGGGTCCTTGCTTCCTTGCCCCTTTCAGCCCAGAGGCCGGTCCTGGTTGAGCCTCTGGAAGAACCTTTTGCCAAACTCATAGGTGCTGATCATGATGGCGCAGGAGGGGGCAGCCTTGATGATCCGAGGAAGGAAGCCTGTGGTGGGAGGGAGCCCGGGTCAGGGGTCAGGGGTCAGGGTCACAGCCCTTGCCCCACCCCTAACCCCAGCACTACACACTGACCTGCAAAGAGTCCCCTGGTACCCGACTCGGCCCGGATCCTCTGCAGCAGCAGCCAGGTGGAGTCCACTTGCAGGGGTGTCACTGCAGACACGAGGCTGGCTTAGTGAGATGCCATTCGGGACCCCGCCTGCCCCCTGCCATGCCAGTCTGGGCCCTCACCTCTCACAGCCTCCATCGCTCCTAGTGCAACCTGGCGTTGGGTCTTCACCACGTCAAAGGGTAGAGTCAGCACGGCAGCCACCTGGTCGGAGGGCAGGGGGAAAGCTCAGCTCCACTCCCAGGTGGCTCCTGCGGCTGGGAGGGACAAGGGCCTCATAGGGCCTGCTTCTGGTATCTCCAAAAACCCTCAGGCTCCCCCTGTTCCAGGGAGACCTCCGCTGGCCTCACCTCCAGCCCAGTCCACTCACCGTCCCTGAGATGCCACCAGCCACAAAGCTCATGCCCACAGAAGTCTGGTCCTTTGGCCTGAGCCCATTCAGCCATCTCTTCACCAGCTCATAGTTGAACCAGTACAGGGCTTAGGGTGGGGGGGTGCATTGATTAGAGATGGGGAGGGCAAGGAGGTGGGCCCAGACCTTCCATCTTCCACTGCCACCACTCCCTCCCAGCTGAATCTTGTCTGCTACATGCAGCTTGGGAGCAGGCTCTCTGTAGGAATTGCCTCCTCACAGCCTGGGTAAATCCTCACAGATGAGAAACGCACAGCTCAGAAAAGCTATGTGACTTCACGGTCACTAGTCACAAAGCTGGGACTTGGCCGTAGACCCTCTGTGCCTCACCCCAAGGTTTCCTTACCCACCCACTACACCCCGGGTGCCTACCTGAGAAGGGCACATCTCGAAGGGCAGTGGGGCCCCAGCCCAGCCACAGGGAGCGCCAGCCACCCTGAGCCACAGCAGTTCTAACACAGGCACCCAACTCCCGGTATGACACGTGCTGAGCCTGCAGCTTTGTCCGCATGAGCTCCAGGGGGCTGATCACAGTCACGGTGCCCACTGTGGGGGGCGTGGAAGTGACAGTGGGGAGAAGTCAGGTCACCTAGAATATTCCTCCCACCCCCAGGCTGACAGAGGTTGGGGCTGGGAGCTGGGACTGACTGGGCTTGGGAAGAGGTGGGGACAGAGGGAGGTCAAAGGCCCAAGAGTATGCTCACAGCGGGCCAGCGCGCCAGCCACCATGGGTGCGTAGAGGTCAGAGGTCAGGGCTCGACCACACAGGAAGGCCTTGAGTTGGTCATAAGCAGTGAAGTAGATGGCAGTAGCTGGCACAGTCATCACCCTGGGGATATGAAGAGAGGTTAGCAGGGACTCCCAAGGGGACCCAACCTTTTGAAGCATCGCCTGCCCCACCCAGCCATTCAGCAGGGAACAAGGGGTTAGGAGCTACCAGAAGAGAGTGGTGTGGGACCTGGCTACTCACAGGGTGGCAGGGAGGCCGCTCCAGAGGGTCCGGGTGCCCTCGTGCCTCACGATCTTCACGAAGGCGTCCTGGCCAAGCAGGCACCAGCCCAGGGGAAGAGAAGGGACACAAATGAGGTGCCTGTGATGGGGCTGGCCTGGGCTGGGCCTCTGCCTGATGCCCTCAGCCTCTGCCCACAGCCCTCAGGCCTCCCTGCCTATACATATGCAGTACCCCAGTTGGGTCCAGGTGGACACATGGTCACCCTTCAAAAACCTCATGGAGCCCAGGGATGGTGGCTCACACCGGTAATCCCAGCCAGCATTTTGGGAGGCCACGGCGGATAGATCACTTGAGGCCAGGAGTTTGAGACCAGCCTGGCCAACATGGCAAAACCCTGTCTCTACTAAAAATACAAAAATTAGCAGCAGGTGGTGGTGCACACCTGTAATCCCAGCTACTTGGGAGGCTGAGGCAGGATAATCACTTGAACCTGGGAGGCGGAAGTTACAGTGAGCCAAGATCACGTCACCGCACTCCAGCCTGGCTGACAGAGTGAGCCTCTGTTTAAAAAAAAAAACCTCACAGAGGTGCTGCCTTCTCCAGAAGCCCTTCCTGACTGACAGGCTACCTCTGCGCGCCTTGCCCTACCCCTTCTTTCCTGGGTCTGCTGCCCAGCCAGACTCAACTCCTCAGGACACCAGCGAACCCCTATGGACCCAGCTGCTTCTCACCACGGTGCCAGTGAAGCGGGTAGGGTCTTGAAACCAGGTGGCACAACGGGCACCATTTGGACACAGGTACAGGGGCTCCAGGACACCATTGCAGTACAGGAGGCACTTCCCTGTGGATTGGAGAGAGGAGGGCACTGGGGAAAGGCAAGGGGGCATTACGACAACAGGACCCTAGAACCTTGCAGGAAGGCAGTGGGCCCCCATCCCTGGAAGGCAGTAGATGCCAGGTCCCTGTGTGGTACAGGTCACAGGACTGGCTGGCGTGACCTGGGGGTGTGTGTTAGTTCATGGCTCTGGAGCCCACTGGTGCCCTGGGGACAGGGACAGGAATCCTCTCTCCCTTGCACCCTCCCAGGCTCCCTGTGGCTTGGGGCACTCACATTTGGTATAGGAGAGGCTCCACAGTCTGGAGGAAGGCGTCAGTTCTAAAATACAAGGCAGCCCCACGGTCAGGAGAGCCCCCACCTATCCCAGGGGCTCCATCTCTGGGAGATCTTTTTATTTTTTTTGAGATGGAATCTTGCTCTGTCGCCCAGGCTGGAGCACAGTGGCACAATCTCAGCTCATTGCAATCTCCACCTCCCAGTCCAAGCGATTCTCCTGCCTCAGCCTCCTGAGTAGCTGGGACTACAGGTACGTGCCACCATGCCCAGCTAATTTTTATAGTTTTAGTAGTGACAGGGTTTCACCATGTTGGCCAGGCTGGTCTTGAACTCCTGACCTCCGGTAATCTGCCCGCCTCAGCCTCCCAGACAGAGTGCTGGGATTACAGGCATGAGCCACCTCATCTGGCCTCTGGGAGATCTTTCTTTTGCCCAGGTACCACCCCTCACTAGCCCCGGGTTCAGGTACTCACCGCTGGCCATGGAAGGCCGCTGAGACTGCAGGCGAACCTTCACCACGTCCAGGGGTGTCACTGAGGGAGGAAGTAGGTCTGAAGGCTCCTTTCAGGACCCCACCCCCAAGACCACACTGCCTCCAATCTCGGGTCTGCGCCATCCCCACCTGCCCACACCCCACCTCCCCAGGTCTTACTGAAGAGGGAGGTGACCACCGCCCCAGCGCCTGAGGCCACCATTTGCTGGAGGGGGCTGATGCCCCCAGGGTCCTGGTCAGTCATTTTGAAGCTTCAATCCTGAAAACCAAACCTTAGTCAAATGGAGCATCACTCCAGGGATGCCCTGGAAAGGAGACGAGGCCACCGTGAGACTTTTTTTTTTTTTTTTGAGACAGAGTCTCGCTCTGTCCCAGGCTGGAGTGCAGTGGCCCGAGGTCGGCTCACTGCAACTTCAGCCTCGTGGATTCAAGCAATTCTTCTGCCTCAGCCTCCCGAGTAGCTGGGACTACAAGCGCGCCACCAAACCCAGCTAATTGTTGTATTTTTAGTACAGACGGTGTTTTACCTTGTTGACCAGGATGGTCACAATCTCTTGACCTCGTGATCCGCCCGCCTCGGCCTCCCAAAGTGCTGGGATTACAGGCGTGAGCCACTGCGCCCGGCCCACTATGAGACTTAAACCCGACTTTCACCCACCGCCCTCGGAACATGCGCTGCCTCAACAACCCTGGCAATGACCTGTAAAGCAAAGACTTTCCGCCCCCATCAACAGGGAAAAACTAAGACTCAGAGAGACGAGGCGGCCTGCCCAAGGTCACTCGGGAGTGATTCCGAAGGAAGCTGGGGTTTGAGACCTACCAGGGCCATTCCCTGGTCCGCCTCGCACGTGTTCACTGCGCACCTCCTACGTGCAGGGGCCGGTTGGGCCCTCGTGGCCCCCAAATTAAAGTACCTGGGCCGCCCCCACTCCAGCACAAAGGCCCCGGGCGGGCACCTGCGAGCCGAAGTCACCGGGCGTGCAGGTGCGACCGGGCACCGAGAGTGATGTGTAAACAGATCTGATGACCACGAAGGGCCCGTCGCCTCCTCGGGACTGGGGGCTGGGGTGCTCGGCCCTCCCCGCACGGCCGGACGGGCCAGGCCCGGGGTCGGGAAAAGAAGAGCAATCTCCGGCCTCCCGACACAAAATGCAGGCCCGAGGCGCAGCCGGGAGAACGGGAAGTAGGGACAGGGAGCCAGGATCTGCTCCCGACACTCGGCTACACTCCGGGCCCCGGACCGCGCAGAGCCGCCGGGTGAGGAGAATCACCTCGGCCCGACTGCCCCCAGCACCCGCCGTGGCTCGCAAGGCCGCCGGGAGACGGCCTCGCTTCCGTCTCCGCCCCCAGCCCCGGCCCAGCCCCGCCTACCTGGCTCTAGGCTGGTGCTCGTGCGACGCGGCACCCAGCGCCGGGCGGGCCCATACCGGCTCCGCCGCCTGTGCGGGATCCGCGCGCACTCGTCCGCACCGAGGCCGACGCGGAAAGCAGCGGGGTAGGCCCCGCCCCCACAACGCGCCGCGAGGCCCCGCCCCCCGCGGGCCTACCAGCCGCATGTCCGGAGTGCCTCCGGCTCCTCCCATTCGCGCCTCCACCGGGACCTGCGGCAGTCCCGCCCCCTTGCCGGGGCCGCGCGGGTAGATTCCTACCTATCCAGCGCTGAGGCCTGCGGGCCAAGATCGCGGTCTCCACGTTGCAGCACTTACAGCATCTTTTTCAGCCTTGCTCTGTCGCCCAAGCTGGAGTGCAGTGGCGCGATCTAGGCTCACTGCAGCCTCGACTTCCCGGGCTCAAGCGATTCTCCTGCCTCAGCTTTCCGAGTAGCTGGGACCACAGGCGCGCGCCGCCATGCCCGGCTGATTTCGTGAGTTTTATTTTTGTCTCTCTATATTGCCCAGGCTGGTCTGGAACTCCTGGGATCCAGCGATCCGTCCACCTCGGCCTCGGAAAGTGCTGGGATTCCAGGCATTTTCACCAGCCCCGCCCCGGCCCCGCGCGGCACTGGGGGCCCCAGCGCCTTCCGGACGGCGAAGGAAACGCACTAGCCCCTTCCTCCGGGTGCTCAGGTGCGTGGCGGCGGCAGTGAGGGTGAATTCTTCGAGATCGCAGGGAGAACGCACAGTAACGACCAAGTTACTTGCAGGGCTCCCCGCCGAGACTTTACAACTTCGCGGCGACTTCTCTAGCCCGCCTTCGCATCACCCCCATTTTGCAGGTTACGGAACAGGCCTGCAACTGCTAAACCGCGTTATAAACCACGGGGCCCCGCGCGCGTGTGGGCCCCTGGGTTGGCCGAGCTACAGCCCGGGCCAGGCGGGCTGGGACGGGAGCAGGTGCGGGGAGCCGTGGGTAGCGAGGTCCCACCTCCGCGTGACCTTGGACAAATCACAACCCGCCTCGGTCCAGAAGAGTCCTGCCCAGGGAGGAAGAGCACAGAGAGGGCACCGACGTTTTGGTGTTGGTTGCTCTCGCGTTGTGATTTCTTCTGAGCCTCAAAACTTTGCAATAGGTTATTGTCGAAATAGATTGCCCCAGGCCGGGCGCAGTGGCTCACGCCTGTAATCTCAGAACTTTAGGAGGCAGAGGCGGGCGGATCACCTGAGGTTAGGAGTTCCAGACTAGTCTGGCCAACATGATGAAACCCCGTCTCTACTAAAAATATAAAATTAGCCGGGCGTGGTGGCGCATGCCTGTAGTCCCAGCTACTCGGGAGGCTGAGGCAGGAGAGGAGAATGGCTTGAATCCGGGAGGCGGAGGCTGCGGGAAGCCGAGATCGCGCCATTACACTTCAGCCTGGGCAACACGAGCGAAATTCCGTCTCAAAAAAAAAAAAAAAAAAGGAAGGAAAAAAGAAAGGAAGAAAGAGAGAAGATTACAGAAGGTGAAACAGGATCGACGTGAGGAGCCCGGGATTCGAAACGGCGGGTGCTTTCCCGACGGCCCCACACTGCCTCCCCGTGAGACAGAAGGACTTAAATCCAGCGCTGCCGTTTCCGTTCCCGCTTGTTAGGGAGACATTTTCTGCAAGCCAGCCCCGTACCCCAGGCCCTACCACGCACCTTAGAACTTTAGCGCCACCGTACTTACTAGTCCTAACAAACCAGAGCGGAGTCCTAGCCTGCGCCTTTAAGAGGGGTAGGGCGCGGCTTCAACGTCACCGCCTTCCCCGCCCCTCAGGCCCCCACTGGTCGCGTCCGGCGCAGGCCGGGTTAGCACGTGGACTCCGAGGGGCCAACTATCAGCTTTCCCTGAGACAATGCCTTTGGCCTCCCCCACAGCTCGGAAACCCCAGCTTGGGGGCGGGGACAGTGCAATCTGTGGCCTGTAAAGTAGACGCTGGGCAAAAGTACCCGAGAGCAGGCGTCCTTTCTATTCCCTTCTTACCTCAAACTGAGTTCAGAAATGACACGACATAATTTTATAAACTACAAGTTAAGGCCGGGCGCCGTGGCTCACCCCTGTAATTCCAGCACTTTGTGAGGCCGAGGTGGGCGGATCACCTGAGGTCAGGAGTTCGACACCAGCCTGACCAACATGGCGAAACTCCATCTCTACTAAAAATACAAAAATTAGCCGGGCGTGGTGGTCTGTGCTTGTAATCCAAGTTACTCGGGAGACTGAGGCTGGAGAATCGCTTGAGCCGGAGAGGTCCAGGCTGCAGTGAGCCAAAAACGCACCACTGCACTCCAGCCTGGATGACAGAGGGAGACTCCGTCTCAAAAAATAATAAATACGTGAATAGGTCAAGGTAAGAACCTACTCTCCACCAAGGCTCTTTACAACTTCAGAGTTCTGGTTTACTGAACAGAGGAGGAAACTGAAGGCCCTTGTGTGAAGTGGCTTTCCTTGTGTAGAGTAAAACCCAGACCTTCCCCACACACAGTCTCCCATTTTACAGATGGGAAAAGAGAGGTCCCAGAGGTCAAATCGTCCCAAGGTCACTCAAAGAAAGAGTCAGCATTAGACTGCCCGTGTTGCTGAGCCAGATGGGCTTCCTCCCACCCTGTCCAGCGCAGACACTCTATCCCAGCAGCGCCCTGACCTGGCTTTCCATCTCGCCTGCCTCTTAATAGCAAATGTCTTAAGGCCTCTAAGCCTTTGTCTCCCCATTTACAAAACGAACTAATGGTGATGATAACCCACCTTCCTCTAGGGATTATGTGAGGATTTAGTGCATTAATAGCTGTGAAGTGCAACCCTGACACGTGGCAAGCATTCTATGACGACTACTACTGTTGCTCTTACTGTATCGTTCTTGTTTTTGTTTTGTTTTGTTTTTGAGATGGAGTTTTGCTCTTGTTGCCCAGGCTGGAGTGCAATGGTGTGATCTCGGCTCACTGCAATCTCTGCCTCCCAGGTTCAAGCAATTCTCCTGCCTCAGCCTCCCTAGTAGCTGGGATTACAAGTGCCTGCCACCATGCCCAACTAATTTTTATATTTTCAATAGAGATGGGGTTTCACCATATTGGCCAGACTGGTCTCAAACTACTAATCTCGGATGATCTGCCCACCTCAGCCTCCCAAAGTTCTGGAATTACAGCTGTAAACCACAGTGCCTGGCCAATATGGCTTTATCAGTGTTAAAATCTCTGGAGTGTGATAACAATACTGTGATTTTGTAGGAGAATGGGAAACTGTAGTGTTTAGGAGTGAATAAAGTGTTATCATGTCTGTAACTTACTCTTAAATGGCTCAGCAATGAAAGAAGCCAGGCATAGTAGCTCCTGCCTGTGTAAGGGAGGCCATGGCAGGAGGATGGCTTAAGCCCACGAGTTTGACACCAGCCTGGGCAACCTAGGGAGACCCTGTCTCTTAAAAAAATAAAAAAATTAGTTGGATGTGGTGTTAGGCGCCTGTAGCCTCAGCTACTTAGGAGGCTGAGCTGGGAGGATTGCTTGAGCCCATTAGGTGGAGGCTGCAGTGAGCAGTGATTGTGCACTGCACTCCATACTGGGTGACAAAGCAAGATCTTACCTCAAAAAAAAAAAGCCAATGTAGCAAAATATTAACTCTGTCTCTACTACAAATACAAAATTAGGCATGGTTGAGGGTGCCTGTAATCTCAGCTACTCAGAAGGCTGAGGCAGGAGAATCACTTGAACCTGGGAGGTAGCGGTTGCAGTGAGCTGAGATCGCAGCACCACTGCACTCCAGCTTGGGTGACAGATCGAGACTCTGTCTCAAAAAAAAAAGAAAAAAAGAAGGGGGCCGGGCGCGGTGGCTCATGCCTGTAATCCCAACACTTTGGGAGGCCGACGCGGGTGGATCACAAGGTCAAGAGATCGAGACCATCCTAGTCAACGTAGTAAAACCCCGTCTCTACTAAAAATACAAAAAATTAGCTGGGCATGGCGTGTGCCTGTAATCCCAGCTACTGAGGAGACTGAGGCAGGAGAATTGCCTGAACCCAGAAGGTAGAGGTTGCAGTGAGCCGAGATCGCGCCATTGCACTCCAGCCTGGGTAACAAGAGCGAAACTCCGTCTCAAAAATAAAATAAAGAAGAAGAAGATATATATATATATATGTGCACGTGTGTGTGTATGTGTGCATGTATATATGAATATATGTACATATGTGTGTGTGCATATATACATACATACATATATATATATAAATAGCCAAGATCAGCCCAATTTGGGAAAGTCCTCCCTGTCTCCTCCTGCCTCTGTGGCCTGAGAAGATGGGCTGGGAGAGTCTGGACACCCAAGGCTTTATTAGGGGGGGCCTGGGTGTGGGCCCCTAGAGGGAGAGGGTCCTGGCTAAGACTTTCCAGAATGTTCCCCAGCCTGGGTCCCAGAGTTCTGCTCTGCTGGGGGAGCGTGGATTAATATGGAAGGAGTTTTAGCCAGAGCTATGAAAATTTTAAATACCCAAACCCTTGACCCAGCCAGCCCCACACCTAAGCATTTCTCTAGTCGTCAGCTCGTACTAACTGTGCTAACTGATGGCACCAGCTCAGCCTTGATGGCAGTCTTGGTTGTAACAGCAAAACAACACTTGAAAGGGAACTGTTGCCGGGCGCGGTGGCTCAAGCCTGTAATCCCAGCACTTTGGGAGGCTGAGGCGGTGGATCACGAGGTCAAGAGATCAAGACCATGGTGAAACCCCGTCTCTACTAAAAATACAAAAAATTAGCTGGGCATGGTGGTGCACGCCTGTAATCCCAGCTACTCCGGAGGCTGAGGCAGGAGAATTGCCTGAACCCAGGAGGCAGAGGTTGCGGTGAGCCGAGATCGCGCCATTGCACTCCAGCCTGGGCAACAAGAGTGAAACTCCGTCTCAAAAAAAAAGGGGAACTGTTAAGTGCATGACAGTATCTCCATGTGACAAATCCACACAGCCTTGAAAGGGCAGCATTCCTTGACCTATCCGGGTGGGGTTGGGGTGAGTGCTGCAGATCTCTATATCATGATGTAAAACAATCTCAAAGACAGAGTTAAACAGCTGGCATGGACAGCGTGCCGCCGGACAGCTGTCCAAACAGCAGCGTCACTGCCCCCTAGGGGACATTTTTTGAAATTTATGAGGCCACTGTCATTTCTGGTTGTCACAAGACTGGGGCTTCTGGCATTTGATAGATGGCAGGTCAGGGACGATAAATGCCCTGGAAGGTGTGGGATGTTCTGATAGATAAAACAGGGAATTTCCAACACGAAGACATCTGTCAGTTTCCCTCTGTCTCTCTGGGCAGTTACGTGCATGAGGAATGTTTGCAATACTCAGACCTGGAAGATGGTTGTTCTACCGCACTGCCCACACTGTTTGTTTGTTTGTTTCTGGGACAGGGTCTCTCACTCTGCTGCTCAGGTTGGAGTGCAGTGGAACGATCACAGCTCACTGCAGCCTCAACCTCCCCAGCTCAAGAGATCCTCCCACCTCCCTCCCGAGTAGCACACCACCATTCCCGACTAATTTGTTTGTGTTTTTTGTAGAGTCAGGGTTTTTCTATGTTGCCCAGGTTGTAACCATACCTCTTTGGAATACTGATATTCTGCTGTGGATTGAGTTTTCCAGGAATAAAACCACCTTGCAATCATGGGGAAGGCTGAGTTTTGTCTTTAAGAACTTTTCCAAAGGTCATTTCCCATTTCATTTTTTGTTTTTTCTTGTTTTGTTTCATTTTGTTTTTTTGAGATGGAGTTTCGCTCTTATCACCCAGGCTGGAGTGCAGCAGCACGATCTCAGTTCACTGTAACCTCTGTCTCCTGGGTTCAAGCAATTCTCTGCCTCAGCCTCCCTAGTAGCTGGGATTACAGGCGTGTGCCACCAAGCCTGGCTAATTTTTGTATTTTTAGTAAAGATG